CAGAGAAGCCCTGGGCAGGTGTCCCGTGGGCACGGGGACGGCCGTGTGCCGGTGCTGGCACGCCGGGAAGCGCCATCCCGCCGCTGGCAGCGGCTGCCGCCGGAGCCGCGCCAGGAGCCGGCACGGGGCCGTTAGTCACGCTCGGCTCAGCTGGTGGAGGGGGCGGCTGGATGCTCCTGGCATTTCCCAGATGCCTGTTGTTTTGTTGGATGGCTCGTGCAAGGCCAGGGTGGCTGCAGAAGGAGGGTCCCACCCGGAGACACCCGGCAAGGGGATGCTGGGGTGGGTTTGGAGCTCGGCAGCATCTCCAACCCAGTGGAGGAACATCCCCCTCGGAGCAGTGGGAATCCACTCCTGGGGCAACCCATCCCCCTGGGAGTGGTGGGAATCAATCCATAGGGTGACCATTGCCCTGGGAGTGGTGGGAATCCAGCCCTGGTACCGTGGAGCGGAGAGAACCCCAATGTGCAGGGGGAACCCCGCTATGGGTCCCAGAGCGGAGCAAACAGGATTCCCCCCCCAGTTCCAGGCACAGCCCCTCGCTCTGCCGGGGGTCCCCCAGTCTGGAGCCCTCCTGGCTCCTCTCCAGCGCGGTTTGGCTGCCCTGGCTCAGTAGTGGGAGCCCCCAGACACAGCAAACACCACGACCTGCTTTTCAGGGAGGAGACATTGGCATTTCTCCGCCTTTCTGTTCAAACCTGCTCTGTGCAGGGCCTGTGCCAATCAAGGGGTTTCGGAGGCTGGCGCCGCAGCCCCCCCACCCCACCCCGGGCGCGCTGTTTGCAGTGTCAATTTTGGGTCGGGTGTTTGTTTTTCCCTTCCCCGGAATTGTAAGTGACAGGGAAAATCAGGACAAATGCCCACACGCCTCCGAGGGCCAGAGCTGAACCCGCAGCTGGGCACGTGCCCGGCTTCCCCCAGGGACTCCCTGAGTTCCCGTCCGTCCTCCCTGTGCCCGTGGAGGGGTCTGAGCCCCCGGGGACGGGCACGGAGCAGGTGGGCAGGAATCGCTCCGGCACCGAAGCCGCCTCTGTGCTCGGCACGGCGACGACGGTGCTCGTTTGCAGCGGCAGAGCTGACGTAGGAGCTGCTGGAGGGGGTTGGTGAGGGGAGGAGGAGGAGGAGGAAGAACCCAACCTGTCTTTGCACCGCTGATCAACCGCGGCGAATCGGCTCCGGCTAATTTTGGCTCCCGCTGCCGTCGGCTGCCGGCACTGGCAGCGCAGGGGTGGGCTCGGGGAGAAATTAAGGCTTGGCCTCGATTGTGGATTTGGTGCCTGTGAGTGGCAAGGAGAAAAGCAGAGGCATAAAAACGTTGAGGAGGCTGGAGGCTTTCTCCCAAAATCCCTACGTCAGCTTGTCTTGGAGCACGCGGGGATTTGGGACAGCGCTGCGGAGAGTGGAATACATTAGGCTGAGAGCCAGGCTCTGCCAGGGCTGGTTAGAACACGGCTTTGTGCTGGGGCTCAAGGGGGTTGCGTCATCCCATTTGCTGCTGCGGGGCAGGATTGGCCCCCTCGGGGTCCGGGGGGGGCTCCCTGGGCAGCCCCTCGGCCGCATCCGGGCTCTGCATCCTGTCCCGCCACGCGCCGTCCCTGGCAGGTCGGGATGAGCTGTGCCCCTGTCCTTTCATCTTTATTTTTATTCCCTTTGCTTGGAGCCTTGGTCGTGGCCAAATCATGGCGGAGCTCAGTGGGATCTGCCAGGGCCGAGCCCAGGGGCTGTTCCTGAGCTGAGCTGAGCACCAGACCAGCCAAAATCCCTCAGGAGGCAGCTTTTTGCGGGGGGGAGGACAGCGCTCACCCCTCTCCTGGAGGCTCCCAAAGTGTCACTGTCCCTGTTGTCCATAGTCAGGGTGTGGGAGGTCAGCCCCAGCTTCGGGGATGCTCCCTGTGCATCCCAGACAGGGTGATCCCGCAGGAGAGGGATGCTGTCCCGGGAGCAGGAGCCCTGGGGAGTTGAGGGGCAGCTGGGACATGGGCACGGGGGTCCCTGTCCCCCTCAGCTCCCAGGGGAGCTGTGAACAGAACTTCCAGGGAATCCCTAAACGTGGGCTCTGCCTCCACAGAGCCCAGGGTCTCCCTGTGGATACCCAGCACCCCGATTATCGCTGGATTGCAGCCAAGTCACTGGTCTGTGCCTGTCTGCCCATTCTCGTTCCTATGGAATGGGATTGGTATTTGGAATCACCTGTGCCTTTAGGGCACACCCAGGGTTTGTGGGTGCCTAGCCCTGCTGCCAGACAGGGATGGGATTCCCAGTCCTGGATCCTTGTCTGTGCCAGGCTCTGCCTTGGGCACTCCAGACTGGTGGGTTTTTGTGTCCTGGCACTGGTACCAGCTCTCCTGCCCTCTGTGCTCCCCAGTAGTGGGACTGAGCAAAGCCCTGGGGTAGAAAATTGGAAACTTTGTTGAGATCAACTCTTGCAGTGAGGAAAAAAAAACATCTTCCGTGATAAAATACGGACAAGGCACCGCTGTGATATTCTTTCTGTGGAGAGCAGTGATGGGATGAGGGGGTCCAGTCTGGCTGGGGTTTGGCAGTGGGAGCCGGGGCCCCCCTGCCCTCAGGAGCATCGCCCAGCCTCCCCTCCCTCCTCCCAGCATGGGTGAGGGCCGTGTCCCACGGGATTGGGAAGCAGCGCCGGAACGTGCCGGCTCTGCAAGAAACAGCTGCAGAGGTTTAAAAAAATAATCCCTCCAATCCCTTTATCAAAGGGCCTCTCGGAGGCAGGTGAAGCCACAATAAATATTGGATAAAGGAAGCTGGATGCAGCGGGCTGGGGAAGGCGGGGGGGAAGACAAATGGCCCCTGGCGCGATGCTGAGTCGCCCGTTTTGCGGCCACTGTCACCCTGTCACCCCCTGCCCGCAGTGTCCCCGGGGAGGGGTGACAGGGCACCTCCTGCCTGTTCTGTGGCCACTGTCACCCTGTCACCCCCTGCCCGCAGTGTCCCCGGGGAGGGGTGACAGGGCACCTCCTGCCCTCCCTGTGGTGCCTGCCCAGAGGAAGGGAGCAGGTTCCCCAGGAGGGGTGGGCATGTGGGGGGTCCCTCTTAGCTGCTGCCACCCTGCTCTCTCCTGCCTGGAACTGGCATCCCTTGGGAGCCCCAGCTGCCACGTCCCGCTGCACCCGTGTCCTGCAGAGCCCCGTGGCAGCGGGGTCATCCCAGCACGGGGTCCTGCGAGTTCATCCTGCCCGAGGAAGGGGCCAGAGTGGCTCAACCGGCGCCCGCCGCTGTTCCCGCACGGATGCCGGGCCGTGCCGGGGGGGTGAGGGGGGGCCGCGGTGCCGGGAGCTGCTGCCTCCTGCCAGAGCACAAATGAGATGTGACCGCGGAGGCCGTGCTGGCTGTGTAATGGAGCGCGGGATGTGCCCCCGCGCCCGGCCCGCAGCGGCCCTGGCTGCGTCGCCTCAGCTGCACATCTTGCTTTTTCCCGAGTCTTGCGTTGCGAGGGGAAGGGAGAGAGAGAGAGGCCGGGTCCCTCCTTGTGCCGGCAGCGCTGGGGATGCCCTGGAGCATGAGATTTGATTACTCCACTTGGCAGGAAAACGGCTTTGGGCTCCTTCTGCCGAGGAAAAATCAAGGATCTGGGTGCCGGGAGAGGCCAAGGCCGTGGCAGGGCCGTCCCCGGGGGGGTTTTGCTGTGCCCTGGTGATCCGCAGTGTCTGCTTGAATCTGAATTCCTTTAGTCCTGTTTTCCCTGTGGCAAAGCGTGTTTGGAGGGGCTGATGTGCTTGTTGGGGCAAAAAGTGCTGCGTGTGAAGCAAGTTCGTGCCTGCCTCCCTCCGCTTCCCCTGGGCTCCAGAGGGGCGTGTGGGGCTGGGATCATGTGCACGAGCAACAGCGGGAGCCTTTTGCCCTGGTGTGACTGCAGGGAGTAGGGTTGTGCTGGGACAGGGCAGGGGAAGGGCCGTGTTCTGCCAGTGGGAATATCCGGGTGCTTTGTCCTGCTGTGCTGGCTCCGCTTAGCCAAGCTGGAGAGCGGAGGTTAGTGGAAACTGGGAATATTAAACCAGTGTTTAATATTCTCGGTGAGCCCCACTGCCTTCCTCCTGCCTGCCTCAACCTCCTCGGTCCTGGAGCCAGGCTGGGAGTGTCCAGCTTGGAGAGGAGAAAGCTCCAGGGAGAGTGTGGAACTCCTTCCAGGGCCTAAAGGAGCTCCAGGAGAGCTGGAGAGGGACTGGGGACAAGGCATGGAGGGACAGGCCAAGGGGGGAATGGCTTCCCACTGTAAGAGGGCAGAGATAGATAGGATATTGGGAAGGAATTGCTGACTGGGAGGGTGGGGAGGGGCTGGACTGGATTTCCCAGAGAAGCTGTGGCTGCCCCTGGATCCCTGGAAGTGTCCAAGGCCAGGTTGGATGGGGCTTGGAGCAACCTGGGCCAGTGGAAAGTGTCCCTGCCCATGGCAGGGGGTGGGATTGGGTGAGGTTTTAAGACCCCTTCCCACCCAAACCATTCTAGGATTCCATGGTTTTATGACTGTAATTAATTTGCTCCCCGACTGTTTGGAGACCCGGCAGCCAGACCATGGGTGGCAGAGTTCCCCCTCAAGGGGCTGTGCCTCCTCCCTCCTCCACATGGGTTGTCCATTGTCTGGTGTCGAGCCGAGGGTGCTTCTGGAATGAAACCCCGGGGGCTGAGCCCCAGCACGGGGCACACACAGCTGGTGATGTGCTGGTGTGGCACAGTGTCACCGTGCCGGGACCTGGCGGGGCTCTGGGCAGTGCTGAGCTCCCGGGGCTGGGAGAGCAGCACCATGGGAATGCCAGGGAGCCACATTCCCTCAGGTGACTCCCTGAGTACCCAGGATGGGGTTGGAGCTGCCCGCTCTGTGCCGTGGGTCGATCCGGGGTGGGTGAGGTGCCAGAGCCGGTGCCAGGGCGGTGCCTGGCTCTGGGTGTGCCCGGGGTGCCGCTGTCACGGCGCTCACCACGGCCCCTCTCCACCCCCAGGTGATGCAGGTGCTGAACGCCGACGCCATCGTGGTGAAGCTCAACTCCGGGGACCACAAAACCATCCACCTGTCCAGCATCCGACCCCCACGGCTGGAGGGGGACAGCGCACAGGTGACACGCGTGGGGACGCGAGTGGGGAGGGGGCTGTGGGGACGGGACTGTGCCCACTCCCGGTGCTGCAGCAATTGCCGACATCTGTGACCGTGATCTGTCCTCTGGCTCGAGGGGGCTGACTCGTGGTGACCTGCAGGGTGAGGATCTGGATGGGTTCTTTGTGGGCACTGAAGTGTTTGGAAAAGGCTGCATTGTTCCTGCACAGTTTGGTTTCTGCTGGGCTCGGTTTGAGCCTCTCTCAAGCCGGCGCTGTTGGATCCGGAGCCACGCGCTCGGCAGCGACATGAAAGGGCCTGGATAAGCTTGGCTTGGGCACGTTGAGTCCCCTTGACCCTGCTCAGAGCTCCTGTGCTGTGCCAGGAGCTGGGATGAGGGTTTGATCCCCGTGCCACACGCTGAGTCCCCTTCACAGCTTTCCTGTGCTGTGCTGGGAGCTGAAATGTGGCTCTGATCCCCGTGCCACACGCTGAGTCTCCTTGAGTGTGCCAGGAACTGGGATGAGGGTTTGATCCTTGTGTCACACACTGAGTCTCCTGAACCCTCTCAGAGCTCCAGGGCTGTGGCGGGAGCCGGGATGAGTGTTTGATCCCTGTGTCGCACGCTGAGTCCCCTTGACCCTGCTCAGAGCTCCTGTGCTGTGCCGGGAGCGGGGATGTGGCTGTGATCCCTGTGTGCCTTTCTGGAGCAGCTGGTACCCGTGGGCAGGGCTGTGGGCAGTGGTGTGGGCACAGGAACTGGGCGCTGCCCGGTGGCAGCTGACCTGTGTCCATCTGGGGGCTCCTCAGGGCAGGGATTTCTCTCCGTGCTGCCGCTTTCCCTCTGTTATTCCTTCCCCCCAAGTGTTGATGCACTCAGAGCTGTGGGACCCCTCCGAGCACCCGTCTTGTCCCTGGCACAACCCTCCTCCTCCTCCAGCACCTCTGGAGGTGCCGAGGAGGCTCCCGCCCACGTGCACAAGGGGGGCTTGTGCCAGGATTGTGCCAAACCCACCTTTTCCAGGGCTGTTTCCCATCCCAGGTGGCACCGCTGGCTCGGGGCTGGCCTGACCACACCGGTGGGTGACAGCACCGCGGCCGCAGCTCCCGGGGTGACCCCGGCTTGCTGTGGGAGCGGGAATTTGGTAATTCCTCCCCCCAAGGATGCCACCTTGTTTTGTCCACGCTGAATCAGTAACAACTTCCCAGATGAGCCTCTTCCCGCTGTTCCTCTGGCGTCAGCACCGTGGGGATGGAGCTGCCACGAGCCAGGCGGCACGTGGGCACGGGGGGGGACGCGTGGGGCGGTCCTGGGTGGGGGGGGGGGGGACCTGCTCCCCCCTGGCACTGCTGGGAGGAGCGGGATTTCTTTGCGGAGCGGTCGCAGTCTCCAAGGAGACTGCAGAGAGGCAGCTGCCCCCCGCCGTGCTGCCGATGGAGCCGCGGCAAAAACCCTCCGCGTGCGCAGGAGGGGCCTCATCCTGCTGCTGGGAACTGCCGGGGCACCCTGACCGTGGGATCTGCCCCACCGGATCAACCAGGGCCCTGCTGGGGATCCCCAGCACCCCAGTGTCACATCCCAGCACCGTGATGTCACGTCCCAGCACCCCAGTGTCACACCTCAGCACCCCAGTGTCACATCCCAGCACTGTGATGTCACGTCCCAGCACCCCAATGTCACTGGATTGCAGCCAAATTGCCCGTCTGTGCTGGTCCATCTCTGTTCCTGTGGAATGGGATTGGCATTTGGAATCATCTGCACCTTTAGGGCACACCCAGGGTTTGTGGGTGCCTGTTCCTGCTGCCAGACCCCCAGTGGGGTGGGATTCCCAGTCCTCACTGTCTGTGGTGCTGTGGAGGAAGAACTGCTTCCCCTTTCCTCCTCTCCTTCCCTTTCCTCCCAGAGCTGGACCAGCCAGTGCTCCGGAGCCAGTCCTGGATCCTTGTCTGTGCCAGGCTCTGCCTTGGGCACTCCAGACTGGTGGGTTTTTGTGTCCTGGCACTGGTACCAGCTCTCCTGCCCTCTTTGGTCCCCCCAGAGCTGCAGGAGCAAGTAGGGCCCCCCAGCCTGGGCGTGCCCCCATTACACCCCCTTTATTTCCCTCTGGGTTTTATCCGTCTGTAGATCCATTGTGTTTTCATCCCCAGCGCTGCTTATGTGGTAATTAATTACCTGTGAGTGCAATTAGTGATGCGTTTACCCCTCCTCTTCCACATCAGTGGCTGAAAAGTTTATATATTATATATGATATAAAATTCCTAATAGACAACATGTGAAGTATATATTTAGGGTTGATTCCAGGCTCTTCTGGAGGGTTTCACCCACCAATCCCACCCCTATGTCCTGGCAGCTCCATAACCACGTGCCAGGCCCGGCTCTGCCGCCGTCACATTCCCACAGTATCCGGCGGCAGCACCTGGATATCGCGGCTCCATCGGGGAGCTCCGTCCCGACCTGCTGAGCGATAATTGGTCCCACGGCACCTGATGGAGGAGATGGGAAGTGACAGACTGAAAACTGAGTGTAATGAAATCCACCAGCCTTTTCATCTCCCGCCTTCATCTCCCGGCGCGGGATGAATCCCGAGAGCAGGAGCCGGGCACCGTGGATGTTCCCGGCGCTCGGCTCTGCTGAGGAACGTGGCGGGTTGGGGTGGAGACGCGTCTCCCGCTGCTCCAGGAGCAGGGCTGGTGCTGTGGTGTGTGGGAATGGCTGTAGTGCCTTGCTGGGATGGCTGGAGACCCTTGCCAGGATGTCGCCCACATCCGGAGCTGGGACCACGGGGTGTTCCAGTTTTTGTGATGATCCGGGCACAGGGAAGGCCTTCCATGGCTGTGGATGGTGCCCATCGCTCCGACATCGTGCACTGCTCAGCCCTGAAACCCCGTCTCGGGATTTGGGGTCCATCCATCCATTTCTGCGATGGATCCAGTCCCGTTAAAGCAGTTTGCCGGCATTGGATCCGTCCAAAAGGCGGAACTGAGCCGTGTCTGGCAGGGCCGTGGGATGGGAGGAGGAGCCAACCCCTGGGAGGGTTGAGGCTCTGACCTGTTGGATCCACCTTGGAGCTTTCCTGGGTGTCAGTGTCACCGCTGTTCCCAGAGTTCAGGATATTTCTACTTCCCTTTTTTAATCCCAGACTCCCTCCCTGGGCAGCCACATTCCAGACTCCCGGCAGCCGCTCCGGCTATATTTGCCGGATTGATGCAATTGCAGCACAAATCTGCTCCAATCCCCCAATTTATCTAAATTGATATCTTAATTGGTAATTCTCTTGGAGAGGGGGAGTCAAACACATGGATACTGATTAAAAGGGAAAAAATAAGGAATCAAAGCAGCCTGCTGGTTGGTGGAGTGGCACTTTTGAAGGCTGGAAGTGGGGCAACGTCCCCCTGGCCAGAGCAGGGATAGGGTGGCTGCTGGGGGGTCCCGAGGGGGGCTTGGCAGTGCTAGGAGCTGGAGGGAGGTGGTGGAAATGGGATGAGGAGCGGAGATATCCCAGCTCCTTTCCCGGCGGTGCCGCTGCTCCGGGACTCACCGGTCCCGGCTCCCGCCTGCGCTGCGTAGATAAGGTTGGCATTGGTGTTGTGGGATTTCTTCAAGGATTGTGGGGATGGCCCTGGGACACCTTCCAGACGTGTTTTCCGAGAGCACGAAGCTGAGGCTGTCCGGTTTTCCCTGCTTCTCCTGGATGGTGGCTCTTCCCTGTCCCCCTGCCCCGCACCAGCTGGTGGTGGGCACTGGGGAGGGATCACGGGTGCCTTTGGGTGCCTCCAACCCCCTCCAGATGGGATGTGGGGTGGAGGGACCCCGGGGCAGTGCCTGCTCTGGCTGCTGGAGCAGCGGGAGCCTCGTGTCGGCCGGGAGCGCGGTGGGCACGGCGGGAGCTCACGGCAGAGCTGGCACGAGCTGTCACCACACGGGGCAGGGAAAAGCTGCAGGCACAGGGAAGCTGGAAATGGCTTCAAAAGAGGGAGAACAGATGGATTTGGGCTTGGATATTTTTTTTTTTTCCTAGCTCTCATATGAGCTTGCATGCGGGTTCCTGGGCTTTCTGATCCGATTCCAAAGGCAGGGAGCTGCCGGCTGGTGCTGGGCTGGGAGCAGATGAGGGGTCCTCCAGGCCCTGGACAGCAGGAGCACCTCGAGGGTCCCTCACAGCCGGGGATTGACCAGGCAGGGATGGTGCCCCGGAGCCATCATCCCAACTGGAATGCGGGTCCCATGGCACAGGGTGGTACCCCGTGCCCTCGGTGTCAGGGGGTGATGCCAGACCTGTGGCTGTGTCCATCTGTCCGGCCGTGCCAGTGCTGCCGCAGAGCCCGGTGATGCCGGGAGGTCGGTGCCGGGGTAGCTCCGGGGCTCAGGCTCCTCGCATGGTGAGCGGCTGCTCCCCGAGGGGGCCGGAGTTTAAATCCTGACAGGGATTTTTGTGTGCCTGGAATGCTGTGACCAATCTGTTCCAGCAGCATGAGGGGCGGGGGATGGACAGGGGATGGATGGTGGCTCCTCTGTCCCGCTGCACTCCAGCGGATTTCAGGAAGAGCCGTATTTTACCCAGACCCCATCAAACACTGGTACTTTCTCTGCTCCTTTCCCTGTCACTCGCTGACTGCCGGGATATTTATGTGGCACTGGAAGCGCTTGGTACAAAGGACCTGCCTGGCACAGTGCCAGCCCCTTCCAGCACCGCCGAAGCTGGAGCTGCCAGGGCTGCACAGCAGGAAGGGCAGGGAATGACCTTGAGGTCAAGGGCAGCCTGGCCCCTCGAGCTGCTGGTTTTGAGGCTGTTTGAGTTGGATTTATAACCCTGTGCGAGAACTGGAAATCAAGCTGCTCAGGAAAGATTCCCATCCCACCCATTTTTAGCAATCCCAGCTGCCTCATCCCTGGAAATGAGCTGCTTCTTCCATCTCCGTGCCAGCCCGGGGTGCTAGTGGCAGAGCCTGGGGCGCCGTGGGTGCCTCGTCCTGCTCGGTGGGTGCCGTGTGAGGCTCGACAGATGGTTTGCAGGTGTCGGC